TATATATATATATATATCCTCTCCTCTCCTCTCATTCATATTAATATAAATAAATTGAAATGACTATTACATACTAAATAATCACGTCATTCCCCAAAATGAACTATAGTATCAGGTAAAAAATGTAAATAGGACCTCCGACACTGTAATTAGTTACGAAACAGTGCCTAAGACTTTTCTATGCGTCCCATTATAATGTAGTCTATGACATAGAATAGTAATTTACATTTCTTCTTTGGCTGGCGTTGCTCAACGTTGCTGGCGTTTCTAAAACTAATGAAAATGAAAAATGCAACCTGAGAGGATGGTCGCCTGTCTACTCGATAAAAACACTCCACTTTTCCCGCGCTGAGGAGTGGGAATTCTAGTTGTTTATTATTCCATGCTCCGGTATATGGTTATGTATATGATTTTGAATGTTTAACTTGTATCTTTTTATGAAGTGTTTAATTTTTCAAATTTAATGTGAATTTTAGTAAATAAAAAATCGGAATTCTCGGAAATCTTGCAAAAATGTCCAGTTCAGACATTTATCCGTAAGTTTCTATCAAATTAATTCACACATTTTTTATAAATAATATTTATTGTAGAGTTTGGAAAAGAATCTACCCTGTAATTTGCGGAAAAAGTAAAAATATTTCACCAGCTACAGTGGATGAAATGCTGAAATCATTCAAAGATAAAGCTGTTAAAGGTTTTCTAGAATTCAAACCCTACACTAAAGAAAGCTTAGAAGCATGGAAAAAACAAGAAGGGTTGAAAAACTTGACATCCGATGAAGAAATGTGTAATTTTATGAATAAGTTGAGCAAAGAACTGGTGAGTGTGATCTAAATATCCTTTTATGATGAGGTAAAAGTATACATCATTAAGTTTTTCAGGATTTAGATGTGGATGTTGCCTGGATATTACTTTGCAACTTCTTGATGTTTGAATACTTCGGAAAAGTGGATGAATTGACAAGTATTGTGAAATATGACACAAAATATAAATTCCTAATAGAATACATTTGGTACTTTTATACTTCAGATCGAATGTTTCTCTTAAAAACTTTAAGACACATATTTGAGAATGTTCATGGCAAAAACGAAGTTTATTTTAAAGTGTTTGACAATTTCATCAAGTCGATAGATATAAATTTATTATGGAAAAACCTAGTTCAAATATTTGAGAATCTCCTTGGAGAACTGGATCGTGAAAAAGCAGAATTAGTTTCAGAGGACATAGTTGTTGAATGGATTCATAGAAACAACCGGGAACAAGTAGAGGTACTACTTTTGCTAATGCACACATTGCAGCATCGTAAAGTTGACGGTTCTGAGCTTGAAGATTTACTTATTATTTTTATAAGATATGGGTTTTCACAACACCCTCTTTATCGAAAAAGCCTTAATATATCACGAAAAAAGGATTTATTGGAAATAAGGAATGCTGAAATAGCTCTGGTGCTGGTCATCATGAAGTCATATTGGTAAGTTGGCAGTAGGTGTATAACTCATAATTTTCACTTTATTGATTAGTTCTGAATTCTGATTTACATTTCGACATATCATCAGCAGAGATTTCTCATTTTTCAAACTGATTTATAGTAGTTGGCACGTTCTAAGTATCAACACATTTTGCGCCCATGCCTACTGGTAGACACTGCTAAATTTCACCCCTGGGATCATTTACTTATTTTACCTTCCTTTTTCTTTATTATTTTTATCAACATTTTTGCTCTAAATTTTTTGTTTTCCAATAAAAATCGAGTTTTTTCTAAGAATTTTTTCTGTGACCACTGGTGGTCCTTTTGTCTCAGACAGTTATTTANAAAACAATTATGACATGGACAATATTTTAGAGAAATACTACCAAACAGTGAAATGACAACATATTAATAACACTACATAAAATGAACCACGTTTACTACAAATTACAATCATCATTATTCTCAGCAAAAAAAAATGCTTCAAGTTGAACCTAATTTATAACTTCGGTTGCAGTGGAGGGTCGAGTAGACCCACTCATTTTGGATCTAACCTTATTTATAACTTCCTGCTAAATAGTTACGTGCCAGACCGAAGATATTCTATTCCTTCAAAATTGTAAAGAAATAATAAGCGATCGTCCATTCTTCCTGTGAGGTTCGAAAGGGGGTGGTTTGGAAAAAAAATCACAAAATATCGCACAGGGAGAGTGGGATGTAGCAAGATAATCACGTGTATTTATTATTTTCGAATAAAAGTTATTGAATAACGGGTAAATTTTATGTATATCATAATACATTATCATAATGACATCATGGAATTCCAGGTATACTTGTCTACAGTCGGCTATATTTCGTGAGCCCGCCTATAAAGTAACCCACTTGAATCAAATTTATGTCAACTGATAGTGAATTATTGTGATTTATGTAGTTGTAATTCTCATAATTGTAATTCGGAGTTCGATGTTTTGTAAGTGAAGTAAGTGAGTAGCTAAAAACTGCAACAATGTTTAAACTAGGAGAGTATAAAAAGGGAAAAAAACCTGGCGTGGGCTTACGCAAAACTAAAATGTACCACAAAAGAAGGATTTAAAAAGTAAGCGAATGATATTTTTGTGCATTACCGCTGTAAGCCCAAGCAAAGAAATCTTTCAACATTCTCTATTACTGTTCCACTTCTTAAACAGGTGACTTAAAATTATCTAGTTTACTATCTAGACTATTGAAGTCATTAGAGATTGTTATTTCATTTCCAAAATAATTCAATTATACATTTTTAAAGTGCCAATGAGGACAATAAGTCCTACGAACTCTGAATCAATTGGTGCAGGAACTACTGTCGAAGGAAATAACACTATTAAAAGCACCTCATTAGGTAAGTATATCCCATAATTAATCCCTGGAAAAAATGTGATGATAATATAATTTATTGAAGTAATAGTAATAGGTATATAATATAATTCATAACAATAATTTCATTGTTTTCATGTTGTTTAAATGTGAGTCCTTCCAGATCTTTCTTGACATAAACATCAAGATTAGGATTGTAGCAATGAGCATGCATCGGATACAGAAAATTCGAACAGCTCTACACCGCAGCCTGTATGTTCTACTCCTGCATAGGATAAGTTAAATAATAAGATCCATATCCTTTAAATGGAACTTGACTTAGCTGTCCGTCGTAGAAATACTTTGGACTCCAGTGAAAATAACACGGCTTATGTACATGTAGAATTGAAAGAAGATCAGAGAAGTTAATTTTTTCTACAAACACATATTTTATTTTTTTTGTAATAAATATCTAACAGCAGATAGTACTCTGAGTGCT